TATATGTTACTTATCATTTTTCCCTTGCTACATTTAATATTCTTTCTTTGTTCTGTATATTTAGTGCCTTGATTATGTGGTGTAGAGATTCTATTTTCTGATCCAATCTATTTTGGTGCTCTGTAAGCTTCTTGTACCTTTATAGGCATGCCTTTCTTTAGGCTGGGAAATTTTTCATCTATGATTTTGTTAATCATATTTTCTGAGTGTTTGAGGTGGGATTGTTTTCCTTCTTCTATTCCTATTATTCTTAGACTTGGTTCTGGATGTTTTGTATTAGGAATTTTTTTGGATCTATTATTTTCTTTGTCCAATGAATCTATTTCCTCTATCATATTTTCAGTGTGTGGGAGTCTCTCTTCCATCTCCTGTACATCTGTAGTTCCTGTTTGCCTACCCATATTTTCCATTTCCAAAATTCTCTCTGTTTTCTTTATTGCTTCTATTTTCATTTTCAGGTCCTGAACTGCTTCCTTCACCCATTTGTTTTTGTTTGTTTGTTTTGTTTTGTTTTCTTGCCTTTCTTGGCATTCTCTAAGGGATTTATTGATTTCCTTCAATTTTTTATTTGCCTTTTCCTCAATTTCTTTAAAGTTTTTTTTCATTTCCTCTCTAAGGACATCTCTCATCTTCAGGAAATGATTTTTAATTTGTTTTCATATGCTTCAGCTACATTGGATTGTTCAGGTCTTGATGTTGTAGAGTAGCTGGGTTCTGGTGGTGCCATATTGCCCTTTCTGTTAATGATTGTCCTCTTATACTAGTGTTTAGGAATCTGTGTTTGATTTTGTTGGATCTGTTTCCTCTCTGGTCTTCTGGCCTCAGAAGTCAAGTGTTCTGATGTCTAGCTAGTCTTAAGGTTCAATAGTGTATCTCTGCTGGGATTGGGAGAGGGCTGGAAAACCTCTGGGATTTTTGGGTGCCAGTGTTGCTGTTATTGTTCCAAGTACCAGTGTGACCTCTGTGTTTCTGGGTGCTGCTTGGCTTCTGTGATTCTTAGTATGGCATGGCCTCCAGTACAGCAAAATTCTTCTGCTGGAGCTAGGGTTCCTAGATCTGGCTTGGCCTTCAGTAAGGAGAAGACTTCCTCTGAGGTAGTTGGCCAGAATATGGAATCTATGGGAGAGGATGTAGTCTGGAGTTGTTGAGTGGGATTAAAAGGGTTCAGTGGGTGTTGGGTGGTATCTTACCTGGGATCCCTAGGACCAGCCTGGCCTCTGATAAAGCTGCCAGTGCTGTGGGCAGGAGTCCTGTTCTTTGTCCCTAATCATCTTCTTTGTTTCTTTGAGGATTTAAATATGTTGTTCAACTTGTTTTTCTTCCAATTCTTATTTAATGCAGTTCATTTATCCAGCTTTCTTCTCAACACTGTAAGCTTGGCAACTCCTTCCTGCAGGTCTTGTGTTTCTCCTGGTAAATTTGGGGATTGAAGGGGGCATTGCATTGGAGTGGAGAGGTCACTGTTACCATGTGGCCTAGAACACTGCCTTTTCCATCCTCCTTGTGTTACTGCTTCTCAGTAACATATTCCTAATGTCTTGCAAACCCCTTTCTTCATTTATAAAACTGCTATGTGTATTTTATCACCTAGCCTTGTTTTGCATTAGAATTATTAGCTGTGTTTGATAAAATGCAGAGGGCTGCATCCCCGTGCTGACCCCCAGCCGAGTTTTTGATACATTAGTTTTGGGAGGAGAAAAACACGTTTATAACCAGCTGCTTGCTACCGCTGTTGATAATGATGATCATGATGATGATGATGACAGGGAGCGCTACTGATTTTCTTAATGTTACCCAAGATGAGAAGATAGTTGGCTCACTATCCTACAGCTGTTGTTTTTGGTGCCCCCTATTGGTTGCAGGGTTTACCTTTGCTCAGATAGTACCCTGAAATCAAATCTGGTGACCTTGGCTAGTCCTTATGCTCCCTGAAGTTGGTAATTGTGTGGACTGTAATCTAAAACAAGGTGAGGTCAGATAAGCTGCCCAGGAAGAAAGTTCTCCCAGACGTTATTTCGGACCATCTTCCATGCCTGCCTGACTTGGACCTAATTTTTAGATTTTGCCTGTGCTTTCGACATTTTCATTCTATGGAGTCCATCATTGTCTCCTGGTTGTGCAGATGATGCAGGTGCAGGGTCACTGCCAGTATCCCCTGGGGATTTGGCAACATTCCTGTGCGCCCTAAAAGAGTTTTCAGTCTCCGCGTTTCCCATCAGAGCTCACTTTAGTGTTTCAATGCATTGTGTTGTTTATTTCACACCCATCACTGCATACTACAGCTTGAAATTTTGATGCATGTGAGGCATAACAATCGTGGAATATGACAATACTTCTCACATAACCTACAATTAACTTGATTCTTCCCTCCTCTGGGACATTAGATGTTCTTGCGATTGTTCTGACATTCCATAGCATTAAATACATTGTTTTTGCCGCTGTGGAAATGTTACTAGTGACATCTATCCCAATTGTCTTCTTTTTAAAAATCTCCCCCTCCCCCATATTTGAAAGAGTTAAAGTGGCTTCCAGAAGTGCTTGATGTTCCAGGAGAACCAGGCTCATCGTGTCTGATTCATTTTCTGTGTGGGAGGTGTGCAGTTCTAACCTTGTCACTGACAGCAAAGTTCAGACTTGTCTCATACTGCAGAGAAGTCTGTCCTTGTAGCTTTCAGTTGCCGAAGCATTGCTGTCAGACAGTGATTATAGATGTTCCTCTGTCAGCATGCAGGTGCTTGGTGGTACCGTTCCTGCCTTGGACTGGGCAACTTTCAATTTCCTTTCTTCATCCAGAGTGTCTCAAACAATGGCAGGTTCTATTTAGGTTACACACGGGCTGCTGATCCAGCTTGTCTAGGTTTGAGCGCAATGGTTCCGTCGGCCAGTGCAACAGAAGTGATGTTACACAGGGAAACATTTGTCTTATTATCTGACCAGGATGAGTGTACAGAAAAGGTGACTTGTAGTTTTTAGACCCACCGATTGCAATTTGGCGAGCAGCGTCTGAAAATAGGTTAATGAGTCACCATGGGGCAGAGGGAGGGAATGTTTGATTTTTAAGGGAGGATGCTGGCTGATGAAAGATGCCAGCATTTCCTGTAGGTCAGGCATCCACCACACTGGAAGGGGGCACAGCACACTCTGCCTTTCCGTTCCTGTTCGTCTTTGCACATGGGGTGGTTTCAGATTTAACTTACTCTCTCTGCCTCATATCCAGTGATCCTTTCCAACTGCTCACTCTGCCAAGTGGCAGATTTGGGGACAAATAGAAGTTGTAGCGACAAGAACCCTAGGTGGACTGCCTCAGTTACGTGAGGGCTGGTTCTTAAAAACAGTCTGAATGAGTAAAAATAATTAAAATGACAAAAAGGGATATTAACATTCATTTAAGCCAGTCCCCCACCCACAAGCAAAACTCATCCATGGTGTACAAATGGGGATAATTCTGCTTGGATCCTGTCCATAGCTGGAAGATTCTTATCTCATGAGAGAGCTCATTTATTCTTAGAGACTTATTGTGAAATATTTTGCTGGATATGCTTGTGCACATCTGTAATCCAGCGCTCAGGATGCAGAAGTATCATTAATTCAAGACAAGACTGGGATGTATTCCTGTCTTTAAAGGAATCCCCTTTTCTTGAATTTATAGGCTTCTTTGGAAATCAAAGTATACTGTTATTCGAGATTTCTTTGTGTTATAATTAGAGACACATATATTCTCAAATGTCTTATTCTAGAGCACAGTTGATGAACTATGGTTCTATCATTTATGAGAGTTACATTTAAATTGACCATTTTATTAGATTCTGTCACAGACTATGTATCTTTAATAGGAATATAGTTTGCAAAAATAGAAGCTTATCATTTACGTAAGACTGAATGCTTGATTGCAGCATGAATGCTGTGAATGAAACTGAGAGAAAAATAAATTAGAAAAAATGTTTTCAATATACTATACATAGAACAAAAGGCAGCATTGGATCTGAGGATTTTTATACCTTCTATACACACGTCTAACTCATCTCCACCATCTGGGCATCATCTGTAATTTGAAAGATTATTTGAGATGTTATCCTACTTTTAAACTTTTTAGGGGCTAGAGAGACAGCTCAGTGGTTAAGACCTCTGGCTATTCTTCCAACAGTCCTGAGTTCAACTCCCAGCAACCACATGGTGGCTCACAACTATCTGTAATGAGATCTGGCGCCCTCTTCTGGCCTGCAGGCATACATGATACATGCAGGCAGAACATTATATACATAATAAACCTTAAAAAATAAAAAAATGAATAAACTTTAAAAGAATCTTTTCTAGTTCTAACCTTATGCAGATTTTTTTGATCATTTTTTTAGTGAACACTATTTATCCTTTTAACAGAAAACAATTACTTAGTATTTAATGTTATTCCTTATTGAAGTTACCCAGGGTCAATGTAGCAATCTTCTAAAGATACAAGAGTAAAGACCTATGGGGCTACAAAGATATTGCTCAGTGGTTGAAAGTGATTGTTGAACATGCATGATGGATCTGGGTTCAACTCCCCAGAACTCAAGTAAAGCTGGACACATGGAGTAAGTACCCATAGTCTTAGTGTTATTTCTAGGAGAGGTGGGACACAGAGACAGGGGAATCTCTGGAAGCTCATGGGTGTGTCAAGCAGAGAAACAGTGAAGAGACCCCACTTGAAACAAGATGGGAAGCAAAGATCGAATGCCCAAGTGTGCCCAGTGATCTTCACATTCTTATCGTGGCACATGCACACCTGCAGTCACAGCCACGGAGGCATGCGGGCACATGCACACACACACATACGTGCACACACCGTATGATGTTTGCTTTGTATTTGGGCTTTTTGTATGAACTTTAGATTTACGTTATCAAATGTACATACAAAATGTGCAAAGACACACACTATGCATGCATGTCTCCTGCGGTGGATGCAATTATGTTATTTCTATTTTTGGACCTTTGTGTGTTTGTTTTCCTTTCATCTATTACAGACAATGCAGCTTGGGATAATTTTTCTCTCGTCAAACGCTGTGCAGTTGCAAGAGCGCTCTTCTGTGTGAGCCCAAGCCTGACGGCGCTGCATAGCCAGGTATGTGAGATCTCAGTCGTAGCAAATCAAGCCTGAGATAGATTATGTCATAACACACAAATGCTCTCCTCACTCTGTGTCAGAGCACAAAGTTGGTTCTGTCAGGTGACTCACATTTTGCAGCTGGGTGATATGTCCTGTACTTCATGGTATTTTCATTCAGTTACTAAAAATCTGAACATTTCCAACTATTTGCTGACCATTCATCCCTTCCTCCGCCCCTCCTCCTCCTGTTTTTGAGATAGGGTTTCAAGTAGTCCAGGATTCTCTCAAGCTCACTATAGAGTGGAACCAGACCTTGAACACCTAACTGATTCTTTTTTTTTCTTTTTTTTGGTTTTTTCGAGACAGGGTTTCTCTGTATTGTTTTGGAGGCTGTCCTGGAACTCGGTCTGTAGACCAGGCTGACCTCAAACTCACAGAGATCCGCCTGCCTCTGCCTCCCGAGTGCTGCGATTAAAGGCGTGCGCCACCAACACCCAGCTTACTTTATTCTTTTGCTTCTGAACTCTGACTCCTGGGATTACTTGCATCACTATATCTGGCTTAAGATTTATTTTTTTCAGATTATATTTTTATTTTATGCATGTGGGTGTTTCTGTTGTCTGGACTGTTTCTGAGCCTGCCTTAGCTACCCAAGTAAGCACCCTGAGTCAGATCTCCTGTGAAGCCAGCCTATGCCAATTATGCAGAGCTAATTGGGGACCTAGGTTAAGTACTGTATCTAAAAAGCATTGGGAACCTTATGGGTGAAATTCAGGCCCAGGGAGCCAGAAGGCTGCACAGACATACACTCTGGGAGTTCAGCTTACTGGTGAGCTCAAAGGTGGGTTATTAGAGTCTCCTTTAGAGTCATTTCGTTGAAGGGGTTTAATTTTATCCATTTGATAATGAAGACCCTAGGATTTCACGAGCTTTAGATCAGGAGGCATCAGCTTTGGGGAATTATCATTGCCCATGGCTTCAGCAGGAACAGCTGTGTCCCATCCCCTCCTGTTAGAAAGCCTGCTGGGAAACTTTCCCTAAAGTTTGCAAAGGAACGGAGAGGTTCTCCAAGAAAGTGAGACTCAGACGTAACCATATGTGTGAGAGCTCTGTGGTGAAGGAGCCAGGCCGGTCTCACACCCACTCAGGCAAGATGAGCGATTCTCATTAACTATTTGGTTCGGAAATGTTTGTGAGAAAGTGTAGTTTAGATCCATGGCGTCTACCTTTGTATGTAGAACACTACAGTGTGTGTGTACCATATAGATGAGAAAATCAGAGGCCGTGGTGATCCACAGTCACCTCGTTGCACTGTTGTTTGCAGAACTTAGCAGAAAAAGCAGTATTTGTAAGTATTTTTTCCAGCTTTCTTAAAACTGAGAAATGAGATGGAAGCTGATGAGCTTTCTACTGTGTCTGGACATGCTGAAGTACAATTTTCCTAAATTAAGTGAGGTGCCACTGTGTCTAGACAATGTCCTTTCGTTGCTGTGCGTTGGTATTTTTTCCATGGCTTCTTGATTTTCCTAACAGAGGGCCTTATTTAGGGAAATTCTTGAAGAAGTCTTAAAAGTGTTCTCCTTTTCTTAGAGTTTGATGAGATAATTTCCTTTTCGACAAATTATGTGGGGTGGGGAGGAAGAAGGAAGGTAGAGAGATTGGGGGAGGGAGAGCTGTTATTCCATTGATGGCTGTAGGTTTGTTTCTCTACATATTTATATGGTAGGTTTTATTCCCCTTCTTATAATTCACTCAGAGTGGAGAAACCCACTGAGCTCTTATTTCCCTGCCCAGTGTAAGATGTGTTGCTCCGGGCATTTGCCAGCCTGTAATACTGCTGGTTCAATTTCTGGCCTCTCCATTGCTTCTCTGCAAAATCATTTTTCTCTTATTTTGCCCACATCTCTCTTTCCTTTCTGGCTTTTCCATTGTAATCAGAGGCACAAAGACCTTCCGTGTGCTGCCCTGGCTCTATCTTTCTGTGTGGATAGTATAGTGCATGTGTCATTCAACCTGGCTTACTTGACATCAAAGGCTATGTAGTACTCGTTAGAACGCTGTCTAGTCCATGCTGGGGAAACCCATAGAAACAGCTGACCTGAGCAAGTGGGAGCTCAGGGACCCCAGTATGACAGCTGGGGAACCAGCATAGGACCCAACCAGGCCCCCTGAACATGGGTGTTAGTTGGGGGGCCTGGGCAGTCTGTAGGGCCTCTGACAGTGGAACTGTAGTGCACGAATGGGCTTTGGGCGCCCATTCCCTGTGGAGGATACTCTGTCAGCTTAGATACACCAGGGATGTGACAGAATTTGATGATCCCCCATGGAAGGCCTCATCCTCCCTGAGGAGTGAATGGGGAGTGGGATGGGGGGCTTGGTGGGGGGAATGGAAGGACAGGAGGGAGAGGGAACTGGGATTGGTATGTAAAATAAGGTTGTTTTTTAATTTAAATAAAAACGGAAAAATACAAAAAACAAAACACTGTCTAGTTAGCTGTGTTTTATAAATTTGGGGATTGGATGAAGGACCTTGCACATTATAGGTCGGAGCCAAGCTGTGTACCCAGTGCCATTTGTTACTTTTTACTCTGAGTCAGGGCTTTGCTAAGCTAGCCAGGCTGGCCAGGGCTGATTGATACACCTATACCCCGGGCTCCAGGGAAGCTGCGATCACAGGTATGCATTGTCAGCCAAGCCCACATAGCTTTAGATTTTGAACGTGTGTTTAATTGCTACTTTTTCTCTATGCCAGTCATTGAAAGGTAATATTTTTAAATTACATAAATCAAGGAGTTTCAACAGAATGTCTGTTAAAGTAGTGTATATCTTGGGTGGGGCAAGCTTATTAATATCTTTTACATGCCCATGTTCTTTATTAGATTTGGAAGACATAGTCACATTATTTTGTGTACTACTGATTTTTTCAGTTAATCCTTGTCTCTGTAAGTCTATATAATTTTACTTTTGTAAGCCCTATGCATGCATGAACATGAGCAATCCATTAATTTTAGATTGTTTAGGCTAATTTCAATGTATGTACTCCTGACTTTATTGGAGATACATTTAGAAGGGACCCCTAATTCATGTAGGTTTAACACTTATAGGAATGACTTCCAAGGAAATACACTTACGAACAGAGTGTGTGTTTATGCATGAGAGACTAAAAGTATCCCCTCCAATGTCATTGTTCTCTTTGGCATTATTTTCGTCCTTTGTGGCAAGCACTAACCCGTAGTTTTACTCTTTTCCCAGGAAACACTATTAGCGTCCCTCACACACAGCCCAGCCTCATGGAGAGCAACCAGGAGGAAACTGGGAAGGGCAGGCTCCTCTACCAAGAAGTCTGCTTGGCAGCTCAACGGCTGGATTTTTTCCTTCAGAAAGGAAATGCCCACAAAGAGGTGTTCAAGCCACACATCCTGGCTCTCAGAGAGACGGTTCAGCGAGCCTGCGTTAAACTCATGTTCCTGCATCCGGTGGGCTATGGCCGGAAGGCTGAAGAGCTCTTGTGGAGGAAAATGTACTCGGACGTGGCCATGCTGCTCATGAAGACCAACAAGAGACAGACGGACACGTTCCAACACTGGGGAGAGCCCCTGCGTGCTCACTTGAAGGCCGGCCTCAAGTTCTACGAGCATCTCTTCCTCTTCCTTCAGCGTCACTACGAGCTCAGGCTGCAGAGCTACATAGACTGGCCTCACGGGGCCATCCGCTTGATCGGCTGTCAGAAAGTGGGACCCACGTCAGCAGAGGAGGCCTCGTGGGCCCGCATGGCCTGTCATCGCTGCCTGCTCTACCTGGGAGACTTGTTCCGGTATCAGCATGAGTTCCTAGACCTGGCCACCAGGAGCTTGGCCGAGAGATGCTACTACAGGGCCTTGTCGTTGGCCCCGCATATGGGGATGCCCTTCAACCAACTGGGCGCCCTCATGGGGAGTAAGTATTATGATCTCGAAGCCACCTATTTCTATCAGCGTTGCCTCCACTCGGAAGTGCCTTTCAAGGGGGCAGCCTGGAACCTCAAGCGGCTCTATGACCACGCAGGGAAGAGGTACAGCCGTCTGAAGAGGTACCAGGGTCGGAAACTGTCTCACGGCCAGCGGCAATGCTGGGACAACAAACGGCTTCTCGTTAGCTTCCTCTACCTTCAGAGCCTCCTGCAGCCTAAGAGGAAATTCAAAGGCGCAAGGCTAATCGCCCTGTGCCAGCTGGTTCTGGAAGACTTCCGTCTCTGTCTTTCCTATAGGCCACATCCAGCAGGCGGGTGCCAGGTGTCCAGGGAAGACAAGCCTCCAAAAGGGTATCTGTTTCTCCCGGACTTCCTCATCCTCCACATGGTGGTTCTTTGCCTCATGAACGTGCACAGCCTGAGGAAGTCAGGCGCAAGGCAGCAGAAGCCAGCTGTTGTCTTCACCTTGACTCTCTTCTCTCACCTGGTCCAGCACGTGAACGCGCGGATCCGGGCCGAGCTGCAGAGGAGGAAGCTGGTTCCCCAAGACGCTTCTGCCGGGGATGGATGCTGGGGGAGGGAGCCCGGAAAGCAACACCAAGATTTGCCAGCTCCCGGCCTCCAGGACAGCAGCTCTGAGCAAAGCCACTGGTGGTCTGGTATCTCGAGGGAGAGCCAGGGCAGTTTTCCCTCCTGCTGCGACTCAGACGAGACGGAGGAAGAGGACGACTCCTCCTTAAGCTCCCAGGCCCAGTCAGACACAAACAGCGAAGCCTCCCACTCAGATGCAACGGATGACGAAGGGAGTGGCCCCTCGAGCTCGGATGCGATTCAGAAAAGTGGGGGTACATCCAAACCTAAAGCTGCTCGCCCTAGAAACAAACTGAGGTACGCGTATGTACCTCCCGACAGTCTGCTGGATCTCTTGAAAACAACTCTGTCTTCCGGCCTGCCCGCTCCTTTGAGCCAAAAACTCCAAGGAAAACGTGGCTTGCCCCTGGCTTCCGTCTTTAGTCATAATGTCCTGCCACCTCAGTGCGAGCCAAGCCCTGCCGTCAGCAGTTCTTTGTGCTCTGAGGGTGAGATGAGCAGCGTTCCCGACACAGAGTTCTACACGGGTTCCTCTGGGGAGCAGGGACCCTCCGTTGCCCGGATCAGCGACCTCCAGACCACTCAGTGGAAACTGGACATTCTGTCTGCAGAGGGCCTCTTACCTACCATCAAGGTGATCCTGGGCTGGCTCCGGAGCCATCACAGCCTCCTCTTGTCCCATTGGAGGAGCGTAGTTAGCTTGTGGGAGCATCTCTGTGTGCTGCTGAACCTGTTACCCTCAGTGGGAGACCTTCAGCATCCAGGCCTTGGCCTGTCTCCCCATCTCCAGGACTTGCTCCAGAGTTGTCAGTGGCCAAACACTCCCAAGTTATTTCAGCTCCCTGAGGACATCGCCCTGTTCCAGCAGCCGCCTCCTCAAGTGCCCCAGGGTAGGGCAGGCGTAGGGCAGGAGCCGCCTCTGCTCACCAACCGGGAGGAGGTTATCGTCCGTATCTGTTTCTTCCGAAGTTTTGGCCACTTTGCGACTAGACTCCCGGGACAGTTCTTGAGCTTTGACTCGAAGCTGGGTGTCTTTGTGAGCAGCCCCCTTGAAAGGTCAGAAAATCCGCCTCAGCAGCTTCCAAGGACAGTGGCGCGAATCAGGTTTTCCAAAGACATAGTGCAGCTTTGGCTGCAGCGTGAAGTGGCGTTTTTGGAGAAAACGCTCCGAGGTCCCCAGACTCAGTCAGTGTTGACCCCTTACCTGTTCCCTGACCCCAGGGCCCTCTGTGAGCATCTTTCAGTCATACAGAAACTAGCCACCAGCGCTAAATTCTTCCTCATCATACCCAAGATTGTGGTGGACACACTGTACATCCTAAAAAGGGAAGATCACAGAGCCTTGGAGGCCATCACTTTCCTGGAGGACGAGCTAAAGAGAAGGAACCAGTACATTCTCTGCCAGTCCTTTGTGTCCAAGAGGTTGGTGAGGCCCAGGATGACTAGACCAGACTCTGATGCCTGGGACCTCTACAATATTCTCGACTTCTGCAAGAGTCTTCTGGATTCATCCAGGCCAGGGATATTGGATCCCAGCAGCATGGTGACTATCATTACCGGCGTCTGTTTGGACCACCCTAGGAATTTCTCATACCCACTGCAGCTGGTGCTGGGGATGGCAACTGAGGCCGGTGTGGGAATCAAGAGCGTCCTGGACTTCCACAAAGAATGGAAAGGGATCAGCTGACATCGTCGCACCCTCCTGGTCTTTGCCCTTCTGGGTATATTGCTCCAATTTGGTGTGTTTCTTTGTCATAAGCACCTAATGCTGAGGCAGGCAACGTGTACACGAGTATGTGTGTCTACCTGTAGGTGGAGTTGTGGCTTGCCAGCTTTCAGAGGCCTTCCTGTTTCCTTCCTGGTCACCTTAGCTCTGTATTATGCTTAGCTCTGATGTAAAGCTCAAGTTTAACTCGCTATTAAGTGATCTTATGACAAAGCAGCAAATTCAGATGCCACTTCCATGTCCAAATACAGCTTCATGGATGTTCTGTGACTCACTTACCCTGGTTTGTGACACGTAACTTTGATGTCTATTGTTCTTATTATGGTGGGGCCAGGTCTCTTATCGAAGGCATGTCTCTGCCATCTATGAAACTCAATAAATATAAAGCTAAAACTTCATGATACTGGTAATGAGATTTATTGACATCCCTGGTCGTGTCTAAGTATGATTCAAATAGATCCCGGGATTGGCAGGTTCCATTCTGTTTTGGGTAAGTTGGGAATGTACAATATTAGCCTTTTAACCTACATCTGCTGAAAATTTTTCAACTTTCATTTTTGTGGAATCATCCCTTGTTTTTTCCTGGCTCCAGCATTATCTTTTGGGAGCTGTTCTCAACCTCCTGCCTTACCTGAAATTCAGGAAATGACTAGTGTATTCTTTCAGGACCCCACATTGTGGAGGTATTCACGTACTCTGTCCTGTGGTGGTCTCATAAACTCAGTCTCCATCCAGCTACTTACCTCGTATGTGAAGAAGGCACACACTTGCTTTTTTCCTCCGGAATTCCTATCATATTCCTCTGTAGCTCAATGTCTCAGCCGAACTTTTAGTTTTCCCACCATCTCCCATTTTAAACTGCTTTTTGCATCTTATTATATTTATTAGAAAAACTAAAAACCCTCAAATATGATCTCATCCTAACTTTACCTTTTCTGATATTTAATTCATACTCCCATGCTTCTCCTGAGCACATAGTTTTTAAAAAATCTATAACGAATATTGGATAAGGATCTTTTATGTGTGTTCATATTCATGTGTGAAGGTATGCACTCCTGTGCCATAGTGCATGTGTGGAGGTCAGGGCCTAGCCTCCAGTGGTGATCCTAATCTTTGACTTTAAGGCAGGGTCTTTTGTTATTTGTTAAAGCATATTTCAGGCTGGCCTGCGAGCTCCCAGAGAGTCTCCTGTCTCCCCCCTCCCCCATCTCACTTACTGTTGTATGTGACTGTAAATGGGCTCAGGCAATCCAGTATTTGGTCCTCGCCATTGAAATCAAGTGCTTTAACCATCAAAACATCTCTCCAGCCTCCACTAAGCATCTTTTCAACCTATTTCAAGTTACAAACTTTTTGTATTGTTATATTTGCTTATCTGTCTCCTTGAATAACTTTCTATCAGGGTTTGAGTATTTTTCTTTCCCAACTTCTAGTATTAAATCACTAAATCATATGATTAAGATTTTTTTGTTACCGTTTGGATTATTTTCATGATACATGAGCAGATTCCTTTACTAAATAAAGAACTGGGAAGGCAGAGAGAGAATTGCATATTGGAGAACAGTTTAAGGTACACATTAAGATGCTGTCTCAAAAGAAAGCAAAAAGGCTAAACAAATATTAAGCAATTTATATGTACATAAGTATATCAAGTTTTTAAGAATTGTTGTCTAGAGTATTGTTTATTTTCAAAGAGAAAACTCACATTTCATAAAGTTTTATAGCACACAATTTTCATAAGGTATGTAATGATAATTTTCTTACCTATTATAAAAAAATGACCATCATACAGGAATGTAATATTTACATAATTCTCCTATTTTTACATTTGTTTTTAAGCTTTTTCTTCCATTATAAGTAACATAAACAAATTATCCTTGGTCATTAGAATAAATTCCTAGAGACACTATTGCAGGCAAGGGGGATTGAAGCTATAATGTTCCACATATTCAGAAAGAATTTTTTTTCCTCAGGTAAAGTTCTGAAGGCATCTCCTTTAGCACAAGTTATCCATGTAATTCCAACGAGTCTATTGCATTTGTGAACAGTTTCTAACTCATTTACCTTTCTTTCAATGAATGTAGTGATGGATCCTTGTCAGGAAGCTATGTGTTCATTTTGTTTCTGCTGTCTCTCCAGGTTGGTCTGAGCATAAGCACCCTTCTTCAGAGTACTAGAAGAATCTAGAAGACTCTGGAAGAGCAAAGCAGAGAAATCACACACACACTCTCTGTCTCTGTCTCTGTCTCTCTGTCTCTATGTCTCTCTCTGTCTCTATGTCTCTCTCTCTCTCTCTCTCTCTCTCTCTCTCTTTCTCTCTCTCTCTCTCCCCCTCATGACCTGAAACATTACTTTTGTTGATGCAGCCTCTTTCTCTGTAGCTTATAGGTTCGGTTCTCCATCATGCAGTGTCAGCAAAGCTTGGCACCTTGACCTGGACCTGACTAGGAGTGGTAAGGGAATGAAGAAAGAACAGTCACAGGCACAAAAACAAACAAAAAAATCAACCCTGGTGTCTGGTGGGTTGTGTGTACTCTAATTGGAGCAATTAAATACCTCTGCACTGCATTGGGGAACCTCAGTCATGGTGGGATGGTGGGGAGGGGTTAGCTTACCTTGGATGGATAATTTCTCTAGATGAGCGGTCTCAGGCTGTAAGAAATCCAGCAGGAAGAAGTTACAATTGGTAGTCAATCTCTTGTAGACTAAAGAAAGACATGGACCAAGGGAAGGTCCATTCTGAGCCCGGCCCAAGAAGGCTTTGCCACTTCCCTAGGGCTGAGGCTCTGTCCATGTCAACAACATGCACTCAGGACTTTCTCTGATCCCCAAACCATAGCCCAGCCTGACTTCACAATCATGACTCTCCTGTCTCAGCCTCCCGACTGCTGGGATTACAGGCATCTCCCAGATTGGTAAACTACAATTTTCTTTTTTGTCCTCCCTTTGCACTATGAGCTACATATTATTGTACTTTATTTTCTCTGTCCTCCCTTTACATGTTATGGCTGCTTCTAGATATCAAGAAAAACTGGCTTCTTTCTGAACTACCAATAAGCCCAAGCCTGTAATATTTTAAAAGGCTTGAAACAACTACACACACATTTTCTTTGGACTTGTTTCTCCCCTTAAAATCTCTATTTCTTCAACAAATGTTAATCCAGTAAATTGAACTTACTTGCTTACTATATATACATACATATATATATATATATATATATATATATATATATATATATATTTAACCCTACATTCTGGCTTCTGTATCCATGGCTCTGTTGGAAATTCCCCGACTAAGGTAAGTTTTATGAAGAATAATTGATAAAGTTAAATTCTTTATTTGGGTCAGGATAAAGTGATAGAGTGCTTAATTCTCATTCATGGAAGGTTCATGCGTAATTCTCAGCAAAAATTTCTCCAATCCATTAGCCTGGAAACTTTCCAAAGGAAGAAGAACCAAGCTTGTTATTTTTGTTCTCTAACAATTTCTCCAGTTTCTTGGTCTCATCAGTGTTTGATAGATGTTTCACACACAATTCAGCATCTTCCCCCAAGAAATCGTCTTTGGAGTGCAGAAATGCATTGAATTTCAAGCGAGGAATCTTTTGAATCATTCAGAGACTACGTGGAGTTTCAGAGGATTTGGTCCACGGTTGCTTTGTCCCTGGTGTTTGAGCAGAACATTGTTGTTGGGGAGTTTGTGCCACCTTCCAGGGGAGTGGGAAATCACCCAACATGACTTTCTAAAGAAGGCAGAATTGTTCAAATGCATGAAAGGTTGTCATCAGATAAAACTTGCTTCAAAGGTCAAGGTTGATGACCTTCTGTGAACCAACTGTTTTCTTTCTTCTTACTCTAGAATTTAAGAAGGAATCATATTTGCAAAGATGCGTAAAGTGAATCCCGAGGGAAACCCCTGCAGCTATGTAGAGACTTAGCTCATATCCCCTTCTAGATATATCTGGCTCTTAGTCTGTCATAAGCAGGTCTAGATCACGTGACAGCACCAAAAGCTAATAATAGTCAATGATGTCTCTGTGAACCTCAGGGATAGCTGGCAGGGCAACTTGTGGAGAAGAGAAAACAGCTGCCCTCATGCCCTATCCTACCATCCATATCCCCTTTGTCTACTCTGTCTCAGGTAGGAGAATTATTGGAACCCTGACAGTAGATTTCATCTCTGCCTTGGGATGATATTAACCTAAGAAGAAATTGCTTTAGGTGTGAAGACACTGGGTTGTCTTTACAAGGGAAATTTTATGTTCCGGTTGGAATATGTTTAAAGGTAAGTTATGTTTAGATAATAACTACAGCTATATAGCTTGCATATATGTTTCCTATAGTGTATAAATTTCTGCCCCACTACAATATGTGTTTTATAGGAGAGAAGAACTGTAGTATTGCTGAGTCATATATTAAGCCTTATATTTTCATTCGCTTTCTCTCTATCTATGCTGGATTTTTCCATATATCTGAAATTTAATATGTTTAGAAGTAAAGTTATTGTTTCTCCCTGTATTAGCACATTTCCCCTGTAGTCTTTGGAAGTGACATTACCTGTTTGAACAGTCATTCCACTGTTCTACTTTCTTTCAATGAAAACAACTTATAAATAAGCACGCACCAGGTGGTGGTGGCGCACACTCGGGAGGCAGAGGCAGGCAGATCTCTGTGAGTTCGAGGCCAGGCTGGACCGACAGCCTCCAAAACAATACAGAGAAACCCTGCCTCGTAAAACCAAAAAATAAAAATAAAAAATAAGCACACATATGTGTATAGAAACACAAAACATGCAGTTAGCTCATAGCCGACAAATATGAAGTCCATAGGACTAGAGTCTTGGATGAAAATTGATGCTTCAGTCTTGAGACAGGGTCCCCCCTTCCCACCCCCTCCCTTGCCTCCACATCATAACTCTGTTCCCAAGGCCTCTGTAGTCTTCCAACTGATTAAATGAGGCCATTTCATCGGTTGAAGTAACCTCCCTTACATAATTTTAGCTGCCCATACATATTAACCATATAAAAATTATCCTTACAACGACGTCACTGTTCAGTTAAAATATTGTACTATAGCCCAACTAACATAATATGTAAAAATAAGCATTATACTTCAAGAGCAATATCTTAATGTCTGGAGTATACATGTAAATAATTATACTAGCTTATAGATAATTTTGAAAAGATCAATTCCAGATATTACGTTTGCTGAAGTGGGTTCATGAGAAGCTGACATGCCCTTGTCTAAAGAAGTCCCGCCCCGCCCAATAGATGCTGATATACTCAGATGCACCAAACACATGCTGGTACAAGCAAAATGTTGCCTGATGAGAGAGGGTACTGTGACAATGCCCAAAGTGCAGTCTAGACAAAATATCTTTATTCCAAGCTCCTCTGAG